CTTTAAAACCAATTAGTAGAAGTAGGATTTACATATTACTGTGTGAAATTACCTGAAACGTGCACATAAGTCATTAATTAGTAAACACAACTCACTCATCCACGTGACAAATGTTACTGCTAACTTGGTGTGTCAGGTATTATTTTAATAATTGAGTTTAGAAGTGATTTTCTTTAAATTATCATGTTTTTAAAGCTAATTACTATTTTATATTTGGCAATTTGGAAGGAGCAATTTCCATTAAGTGACAGTTTCTTAAAACCATGGAAAGATAATTCAATATTTGTATAAGAGACTCTCTAGCTATAATGGTATGGCATTGAGTTAAAGATTCATAAACTAAAAGTAATATTCGTGATTTATAGTACAAGTACAGTTTCATAAATATTACCATTCTGAGGTCTGAAGTTTGGTAGCTAATATTTTAAGAACAGCTTGTGGAGCAGTGTGGATAAATGAAATGTTTCTTTTACATACTATTGCCACGTGTGTGTAATATATTTCATGTTCTATATATGTAAAATTTGTTTGTGAGAATTGACCTTACTTCTAGTTTTGTCATTTTAGGATATTGTGTGTAATTACTTTACAGATAACATTTTAAGTACAATCACTGAAACCTGAATTAATTACACTGATATCATTGAAAATTCCCCTGTTGATATTCACACATATAATATCTTCATGTTTGTCTTTTAGTCACTTGAAATCAAATTCATACTATATTTATAGATGCTAAGTCAGGGATTGTTTCTCATTATTTTCCCTACGTTACTGTTTTTTTTTTTCATTTCTGCAATACCCACTGTCAGAGATTGTTCAAGTAGATACGGATAAAGACCTTACAAAATTCAGGAACAGGTTTAGTGTGTTGATTACTAAGTCATGAGGCCTCAGTCTTTTTTTCTCTTAGTATCTCTTCCCATTCCTCTTCCATGAAACCAGAGAGGATTTGACTTTTCAAGCAGTTGTCTCTAGTAACAGGCATATGTAGGCTGAACCTTACAGTTGGACACAGCTAACAATTTTGGTAATATCTGATACAGAATCCAGAAACCATGTGAAATGGTTATAAGAGTTGATTAGGTCCTATAACTCAGAATTGCTAAGCATCATGTCTAAAACTGAGTGTATCTGCTGCTCCATTTCTCAGACAGGAATTTGTGAACCAGACAGTGGATGGTGCAGGTGAAAGTGATGAGTTCCTGTCTCCTGGCTAAGTTCGAGCCAGACTCTGCCACCTCCCTTTTATTGGACACATTAAGAATTTTAATCTGTATTGTAAGCAATGGGGAATCCCAAAAGATTAAGTGAAGGGTAGCTCTGTAGCACTGTCCTCCTGTTGTTCATCAATTTGCTTGAGCGGACCCCAGTAATGTCTCCATTGTGAGACTTGCTGTTACTGTTTTTTGGAATATCGAATACACCACGAGGAGCTTGCCAGGTTCTGCCATGTGGGCAGGATACTCTCAGTAGCTTGCCAGGCTCTCCAAGAGAGATGGAGGAATTGAACCCGGGTTGGCCGCATGCAAGACAAATGCCCTACCGCTGTGCTATTGCTCCAGCTGAAGTAAAGGGTAATATGACGGAATTTGTGGGTTTTTTTTTAAAGATCCGTCTGTCCTCACTTGAAAATAATTGGGTGGAAGTAGATTACATTGATCAAAAAACTGGTAATTTGGGGTGCTATTGCAGAAATCTGTATTGGATTAGGGCAAAAAGACATGTAGGAAAAAGGCTTGATTGATGTGTGAGGTTGTGTGAGGCTTTGAGTAGTCAAGGGAACTTAAGAGTCCTCCATGAGGGACTGGAGCGATAACACAGCACGTAGGGCATTTGCCTTGCATGCGGCTGACCCAGGTTCAATTCCCAGCATCCCATATGGTCCCCTGAGCACCGCCAGGAGTAATTCCTGAGTGCATGAGCCAGGAGTAACCCCTGTGCTGCATCGCCGGGTAGCTTGAGTGGACACAAAAAAAATAAATAAATAAAAAGGTCCTCCATGGTCTTGGTAGAGCCCTGTAATTACTGGTGCCATTTCCCTAAAAAACTCATCTTGTGTGGTAGCTGAAAGATCATGAATTGTAGTTGAGCCCCTTTGTGCATAAAATTCTGTGATCACTGAGAGATCAGAGTTAGAGATAAGAATTTCATTAGGATTGAGTGATGGCAAGCCCTTGGCATTTGACTACAAAATTGTGGTTCCCCTGAAAGCGGGTTGAGGACTACTTGAGTGGGAGTGGGAAAAAGCCAAGTAGAAGTGACTCAGGGACACAGTGGTGGAGGGTCTTGGGCACTTCCGTGGTGATGAGAGTGTGTAACTCTGTACATCAAAACCATAAGTCGATACTCTTATTGACACAGTATAATACTATTGTAGATTCCAGCTGGGGACCAGGGTTAGAGCTCAAGTGGCAGAACATAGGCATTGTATGCGTGAGGTGGTGGATGTGATGCCAAGCACTGTATGCCCCTTCTTCGGCACCGTGGAGACACCGTGGAGATACCGTGGAGACACCTGATCTTCTCTGAGCACCTATCACAACTCTTAAGTTTCAAAAGTACTGGTGATGGCCATTGGCTCAGGACTCATATAGGGGTGCCCTGGGTTTGGTTTCTTTTTGCACTAGAAACGTTGAGTATAAAAATCATCCATTTCATTATCAATTAGAATGTGCCCAAATTTTAGCTCTCCCACCTATTGAGTGTCAAACCTTGGCAGCCCAACTCCATCCTGGTGGGCTGTGGTGTAGAGTGAAGATTGTACTGATTTGCAAGGCACCTGGTAGCAAGTAAATGTCTGAAAATGGCTCTGATCTTGTCTTCTAGGAACATTTATTCATAGTTATGGAAGAGACTTGTATCAGGTATTAGTACTGCTGTACTTCAGCTTAGAGATTAAGTCGTATCGGATGAAAACGTCCAAAAAGAAAGTGGCAGAATATACTAAGCAGAAAGCCATGATGACTTTTCTTGTGAGAGTAGGAAGAGATGCAGGGTGGAGTGTCTGAGGAACAGCTGCGTATTAGAGGCTGTAGTTTCCTTTAGCTTCTATTTGATCTTTTTATTCTCCCTGAAGACCCAGTATCAGAGAATGTGGAAAACTTCAAAGGCTGAATAAAGCATTTGCACTGCCACAGGGAGACTATGCTGTTTTTGTTTGGTGTGTGTGTGTGTGTGTGTGTGTGTGTGTGTGTGCAAGTGCGGCCATGTATTGTGTGTATATCCCTAGGAAGCAGCTTTTCATGTTTAAGTGCTAGAATATGTTTGGTAAATGAGAGGGGGAAACATTTTGTAGCTTCATTTCTATTGTCATTTTACATTGTAATCTTATTACAGGTTTTATTTTTTTATTTTTTCATTTTTTTATAATTTTATTTATTGAGTCACCGTGAGAGCAGTTACAAAGCTTTCGGATATAAGTCTCAGTCGTACAATGAAACACCCATACCTTCACCAGTGCCCATTCTCCACCCCCAACAACCCCAGTCTACCCCCATCCCACGCCCTCCCCCTACCTGTGGGGCAGATGATTTCCACATTACTCTCTCTCTATTTTGATCACATTCAATATCTTGACACCAGACCCACCATTATTTGAGATTTTACCCCAACACTCAGATCTGCTGAAAAGGCAACAGTAGGCAATTTGTTTTCTATTTCTGGTTATGAATAGCGTATGATGTCGTGTGGCTGCAGTAGTGGCCGCACAATTTTGAAATTCTGAAATTTTAATACTTAAATCTGGAGGGATTTTTGCCAAAACCTGCTGGGTTCCAAGATTTTCTCCTGAGTCTCTGGGATCATGGCCATTAAGCAGCTTGATCAGGAGCCAAAAAGGCTGTTCATGGGCAGTGACTCGGGATCTCATTGGGACAGAGAGGTATAGGCCAGCTCCACCCCCATCCTACGAGTCCCCACATGTCTGGTCACTGAGGACCCAAACCTGACTGTTCGGCGGCCTCTGGAGGATGGTGGCCACCAAACCACGTAGGGGGAGCAGGCGGAGGGACAACACCCTTTCCCCCCTGGGGTGGCCTGGCCACAGTAACCTACTGCAGGGTCCAGACGCATTTCTGCCAGAAGCCGCTGGGTTTCGAGATTTGTTTCTGAATCTCTTGGATCATGGCTGTTAAGCTGCTTGATCAGGAGCCAGAGAGGCCGTTCGTGGGTGATGACTTGGGGTCTCCTTGGGGTGGGGAGGACAGGACGGCTCCACCCCCATCCTGTGAGGCCCTACGTGTCTAGTCACTATGGGCCCAAACTTGACTGTCCAGTGGCCTCTGGAGGATGGTGGTCACTGGGCCGCCAGGGGGAACAGGTCAAGGCACAAAACCTATTCCCACCTGGAGTGGCCCAGCACCGGTAACCTACTGCAGGGACTGGACGCATTTCTGCCAAAAGACGTTGGGTTTCGAGATTTGTTTCTGAGTCTCTGGGATCATGGCCATTAAGCAGTTCAATCAGGAACCAGAGAGGCCATGCCTCCAATTATATAGCTGAGCCAGAGGTGGCTTGTGTGTGTGTGTCTCCCACATACCTAGCTTTTGGCCGTTTACTTTCTTGTTAAACTTTGTCCCACGTTTATATTCCCATGATTGCTGTATATTAGAATTTTTTTATTTATAGATGCCATTTGTCAAAGATTTAAAGTAGCAAAAGTAGTTGATAAAGGCCAAAGGCACAGCAGCAACTTTGGTGTATCTGGAAGTCTGAAGGCACCATCAGGCTGCTGATGCACTCGCCTCACAGGTGCAGATTGACCTGCTGGCAGCGCCATGCCCCGTTATTACAGGTTTTAGATTACAGACACTAAACTTATTATCATACTTAAAACTATTTTTAGTCTCAGGTTAATTAATTCCAGTAGTCCAGTGTTAACTCTTGGCCTGGAGAGAGCAGGGATACAGGTTTTATGATTCTATAAGAAATTTTTTAAAAGCAAGTGAAAAAGGATAATTATTTGCTTTTATTTATTTTCTTTTTCCCTTTTGTTCTAGGATTATGACAGTTTTTTTGAATCAAAGGAAAGCAACACAGTCTATTCATTCTTAGGCCTGAAATCACGGTTGCCATCAAAGGTATGTAAATCTTTACTTTTGTATGGAATTCATCTTAGGTACTGAGGCTCAAAATGTGGGAAGAATGTAAAATTTTAGCTTTCGGTTCCTCAGATGTATAATTAATAAGAGTGTCCGATGTAAAAACACAATGAATCAAAACTTTTCTTTCTGTGTTCCCATGATTGCTGTACATTAGAATTTTTCATTTATAATTCTGTTTATTTATAGATGCCATTTGTCAAGGATTTAAAGTAGCAAAAGTAGTTGATAATTTTCCTTTGAAGTGCAAAGTTTCTAATACATTTTTAATAGTCGAATCAAAGCCACGTTTCTAATATCTTTCACATGTGTATGATCCTTTATGGGAGGGGGTTGTGCAGAAATGAAAGGTCAGTCAAACTTGAAAAAATGCAGTATGTCAGCTTTTAGAGAACACGAAAGACTCAGACTTCTCTAATAATTCTACCTAGAAGTGAAGTGTATTATTGCAGCATTTTGAAACATAAGGATTTCCTTTCAAAATAAGAAATAGCAGGCGGCTGGAGTGATATCACAGCGGGTAGAGTGTTTGCCTTGCATGCCGCTGACCCTGGTTTGATACCCAGCATCACATCTGGTCCCCCAAGCACTGCCAGGAGCAATTCCTGAGTGCAAAGCCAGGAGTAACCCCTGTGCATTGCCGAGTGCGACCCAAAAAGCAAAAAAAAAGAAATAGCAGTTTTGGGTTTGGGTTTGGCTTAGGGGTCACACCCAGAGGTGTTTAGGACTATCCTCTCTCTCTGTGAGGTTTTTGGGTCGAGGGTGTCCTCTATGGTACTCATAACTGTGTGGTTCCAGATGAAACCCGGAGTTCATGCATCCAACGTATGTGTTCCAACTCTGTGAGCCATCAGCCTCCACCCTTTAGTAGTTCTTAATCAATTGAGAAGCAATTATAATTCAAGATCATTTTGATTGCTATGTTCCCTGTTTAAAAAATATTGTTTCTGTTCTGATTATGAAAGTTGGCTAGGTTCCTGTTGAAAATGAAAAAAAAAATACACAAAGTATAAGGTAGAAAATAAAAAATCACTTATTAGCCAGAGACAACTAGCATTTTTGTTGTATTCCTTGCAGTCTGTATATAGTTCATAGTAATTGAGGTTTTGACTGTATTTCAAATTCAGACTGATTTCTAAAGAAAGTACCTATTTTTAACACCGAATTGAAACGAAAGTACATTGCAGGGAACTTTGATGTCTATAAGTAATAGGTCTTTTGAGGCTGCCCAGCATTTGTACCATTTCTGGAACACCTGTGGGAGGAAGATGGAGACTTACAGCAGCATAAATTATACACCAGCACCTGCAGCTCGGGGTGCTGGGAAGCCTTGCTTTGTTTTCACGTCACTAAGTCCACAGATGGCGGTGCGTGGGTTCACGGGCTTGTGGCAAACTCACACATACAGTGTTTAGAGGTTCGAGAGCTGTTTGTCTAACTAAAATATTGGAATGTTTGTGAGGAAATTACATCATCCTGATAAAAATGTTTTATCTAAAGATATTAAGTCATGCAGATTTATCTCTAAAGACTGGAGGGGCAAGAATACGGTAAGAATACATCATCAGTTCGGTAGCTGTCACTGTCAGTGCAAAAACCTGAAAGAAGTTCTGGGTACCTGCCCTCGTTGCTCTCATTTTCCTCAGAAATGGCAAGTTTCTGAGAGGCTCTCCGGGCTGACTTTCTTCACGCTCTGAAAGAGGAAGAAGGGTATCATCTTCAAATTGCTTAGGAAATCTATTGCCTGGCAACTTGGCGTTCATACCACCCCGCCCTGATAATTCTGTGCCACTTGCTGGACTTGTGGGTTGGTGGGCGCTGCTCCCTCCCCCCCCCCCCCCACCGCTTGTGGCCTTCCCAGCGTGGAAGCAGAGAAGGGGGTGAAGGGATGGAAGGAAACCCCTGGTGGAGGACAGGGCAGATCCCCTTGGTTGGAGCTTGCTACGATCTCCCTCTCCTGCACTCTGTGTCAGGAGCTCCTCAGGGCCTCTCTCTCTCTCCCTCTCTCTGCTCCCTCTCTTCTGCAGCTCTGGGCTCTGCTCTCAGTGCTCCCCATAGTTCTGCTCTGTCATGAGCTCCCGCCCTCCCTGGCTCTCTGCGCCCATCTCTGTCAGGGTCAGGGGCAGATCCTCACTTAGCAGACCTCAGCTAACTAAATCCCACTGTGTCTCTTCTCTCAGGCCTCCTTCCCTCTTTTCATTATTTTTTTTTAATGTTTGATTTATTTTTTGTTTGGCGGCCACACCCAGCAGTGCTCAGAGCTTACTCTTGGCTCTATGCTCAGGGATCACTCTTGGCAGGCTCTGGGGACCATATGGGATGCTGGGATTGAACCCGGGTTGACCAAGTGCAAGGCAGGCCCCCTACCCATGGAACTCTCTCTCTAGCCCCTCTAAATTATTCTTCAGTGACTTGTTGGGCTGTAGTTTGGGAATTGACACTATTACTTGATTTTCAGTAAGCTATTCTGGGCCTCCTCACTCACTCACCCCCTCCCCCACTCCCGGTTGTCAGGTGCCAGGAGTGGGAGAAGTCCTGGAACCGGAGTGTATTTCTGGGATGCGGTATCTGTGCCTCTCCTCTCAGAAAGCAGGCAAGGCCTCACAGGTTAACAACTCATACTTCATCTGCTTCGAAGTGAGTTGGGGGCCAGAGCGATCGTCTAGCAGCAGCCTGGGTTCAATCCTCGACATCGCATTACTCAGGAGTAATTCCTGAGTAACTCCAGAGCCAGGAGCAACCCGCGAGCATCACTGGGTGTGGCCCCCCCATAAAAGCCCCCCCCCCAAAAAAAAATTTAGTTGGAGATTTATAAATATATTTACGAGGAAATCGGGATTTCTCCCCCTTCCTCGTCATTCTTGTCAAGGGCTAGGGGATACGTACAGGGCTTAAGGCCCTTGGCTTGCCTTGGAAGTAAATCACCCCCACAAGCCACAGAGTGTGAAGGGCACGACAGCGCCCAGGTATATTGTTCTAAACGGTGGAAGCCTCTCTTTCTGCTCTCCACTCCTGCCTCCTCCACAGTATCTGTGCATGGTGGCCAGAGCTGGAAATCTGCTCCCGGCCGTATAAAGGCATCACTGACCTCTGTCTCTGGGCTTACACAGCAGGCAGAGACAGGAGATGGCCAGAAAAGGCTAATTATAAGTCCCACAGCCAAATCTGCAGTGGAGCCTGACGGGGCTCAGAGGCAGACAGGGTGGAGGAAGGCGGGTCGCGGAGGATAGGTTGGAGGCCATGCCGACTCCGGGTGTGTTCGTCCTGGGAAGAATCTTTAAAGGAGTCGACTGGGTTGCTGCTACTTCAAAGCCAGGTTGCCCAGCTGTGAGCGCCGCCGCACATCTGAGAGGAGGCTTAGTCATTACTGGAAACATCTGGCTTTCCGCCCACTTTCCTCTCTGGCAGGTTGGGTGGGTGTGACTTCAATCTGGGCTCTGATCCTAAAACCCAGAATTTGCTCTTATCAAGCATACGCGGGCGATGGACTGTGCTTTCCAGCCTCCCTCTTGGTGACATTTCAGATCTCACTGCCAGGGCGAGTTATTATTTTGTCAATGATTGTTTTGTCAGTGCCATGCAATGCGGTGATTGGCTTTTTGTTTGTCTTCGAATGAACAGGCGGAACCTTAGAGAAGAAAAGTGGAAAATGAAGGAGAGGCGTTCTGGATGGAACACCCCTGAAACACCACACACACCTGCTTCCTGTTCCATCACTGTGACCAAAGCCACACGCATCAGAAAAGGGTGTTTGGACAAAGTGGGTGTGATGGGGACCGCATGATCGCTTTAAACCAAATCAGGACTGGGCTGGGTTTTTCTTTTTTTCCCCCTTATTTTTGGGTTTGCCTGCAGGTGCTTCTGTCACCTGGAGGTTCTGGGACCTGGTGCAGGTGTTCTTCCTTACTAGCAGAGAGATCAGTGGGAAACATCATCAGAGACCATGGCACATCTGCCCTGAGTTGCCCTTGACACGGCTGTTGTTCCCGCCTGTTTCTCTTTGGGCTGTTTCTCCTTGCAGCCTTGGAGTTGGTGTAACAGACTGAAGCAATGGAAAGATAACAGAGAGGAAGGTGTGTGCTGCAGAGTGACAATGTTGTTCCGCTGATTTGCAGTAGCACCTGTGGAAACAGTTGGAAGTTCTAGCCTCCTCTTGGTAATGGAAATTCTTCCCTAGCCAAATTCCCCAAGCTCCTACAGATGTTTCCAGAATCACTGTCATGAACAGTGTATGATCAGAAATGAATCACAGAGATGAAAATAATTGCTGTTTTGAAAAATTTATGCTTCTTTATCTCTTCCGAGGGGAAAGCCTCACCTAAATGCGTACGACTGCTCAAAAGATATATTTTAAGAAGTGCACGAATCAGGTAGTAAATTTATGGGGAAATTAACTGATATTATAAAAAGCATTTTCAGCTCCAGCAACTTATTTGTGTGTAAAAGCACATATATTTTTTAATGCAGCCCCCTTCCTGTATAGCTGCTTACTCTATTTTGTGAAGGGATTATATTTTTTGAGAAAGGAAGATCTTAAGATATATTTTGTGAACTCTTGATGAGGCCTATTAAAAGACACTAATTGTTCTGTACAACTTGATTGGTTTCCTGTGTGACTTTTCATTGGTCCTCTAAACTTTGCTAGCTCATTTTTTTCTGGCCAACTCACAGTCTCCTAATTTTCAAAATATTGTAAATGTTCTCTTTCCATATATGAGCACCGGTGAGTTCTCAGAGCAGCATATAAGGGAGAGGAGCTGTTGGAGATTAACTCTGAATTGTATTTGCATACAAAATCTCAGTTCTGTTGGAGTAAATGCCGAGGAAGGCTGAACATGTGTATTTCATTAGGGTATACGTTACTGTTATGCATCTCAATCCCTGTTTAACATTTTTCAGAATTTTTAGTGGCTGACCCTGGGAACAGTCATAGATAGAGTCAGTGCTCAGTTGGGCTGCCTAAAATATTCTGATATCCTCAACATCCCGGTATTGGTCTTGCCATTCAGATTCTGTGCAGGAACTTTGTAAGAAGTTGAAACAACGGAAGAATTAAAGCTTCAGATGCGTTCTTCCACCTCCCACCTCTCTCATCTCCTAGATTGCTCAATGTGAACTCTTCTAGAAAACTTGTTGAATGCTAAAAATGAACTCCCAGCCTGAGATTTGCAGCCCCAGACTACAGCCAGAAGAAAAGAATGAGACAGATTTCTACTTGGCTGGAACAGATAGGCATGTAACCACAATTTCTTCTCCAAGGAAACACTATTGTGAAATCATATTGTTGCATTATAATAAGATTCAGGTCAAATTCCATTTGCTAAATCCCAGGGACTATCCAGAAAATAAAAAAGAGTTCAAACTGGATTCTGTATTGCAGTGTGTGAGTCTTTAGATAAGAATTGGAATTTCTTCTCAATAGAGAAGTTTTCAGGAGGATAATGATAAGGTTTTCCAACTTATATTCCATCTGCTCTTGCTCCCAGTCAGCACCCTGCACCAACTGGCTAAACGTGAGTTTATAAGTTAAAGTTTAGAGTTCGAAATCCAGGAGACTCTTGTAAGACAAACCAAGTTACCTAGATTGGTAACTTGATTGGTTGGTGTGAAAAACTGATTCTTCTGAACAAACTAGATAGTGTTATTGAATTACCACCACAGTTAAACATCATTTACCCCATGCCCCCCCCCTTTTTTTTTTGAAATCAGAAAAACAAAGGAGAGATGCCCTGCTGGCTGGTACTGGACTTATGCAATGAACTGGAGGGGTGTGACCTCATTTCCTATAGCTCCTTGCTCTGCAGAGTGCTGAGAGGCTGCCTCTGCAGACACATTTTGTGCGTGCCCAGGCCATTGTGTCCTCACTCACCTTTTACCAGCTGAGTTCCGAGCCTGTGAAAGTTTTCTAGTTTCCTTCTTTAACTAGCTGCCTTTACGTTTTGATAACCAGAGACTTAAAAGCCCAGGGAAGAAGTGGATGGTGTTGCAGACATAGGTGAATATCAAGGATATTTTAAGGCTGGATTTGTATTTCCAATGGTAGGCTTGTTAGGGCAAAGGAAGTATGCTACTAATAATAAAATCATGTCATTTTAAAATTAGATATGATGCAGAGTGCTTGTCCTGCTTGGTTATGGCGATCAAGGGACAGTTTTGCTGGGAACCGACATGATTTTTGCAAACTCTGGGGTTCTTTTTAAATTAAAGGGAAAAATGAAGGATTCTGTTCTCTCAGACTAATTTCTATTTGGATTTTTTTAACAGATTGAATAAAATACTCCTTCATAGATGTTTTATTCTATAATAGTGAACTAAACTTATTTTTTGTCTTCTATTATTGAAGGTACCAAAGCCTCTTTCTGTTTTATCTAATTTCGTTTCCTTATTTGTTTGGTTTTTTTATGGTGTAGGATTTATGCTTTTTCTAGAGACTTTTCTTAAATGTTAAGGTCCATTTTGAACTGCATAATTATTGTTCGTTGATTTAAGTTTGTATACATTTTTCTCTAAAAGCATTGTTGAAGTTTGAAATTTTATATTGAGCTTTAAAAGGGGAATAAATTCCAGAAAACTCATTCTGAAAATGGAGTGTTTATTCCCTACTCTTTGGGTTCTGTTTGGTTGAAGCCTTCCACAGATACAGACTCTCTGCTCCCACCCAGGAGCTCTGTACATTAAAGCTGCAGAAGAATTCTAAAAATGCAGACCATTTGCCCATTCCAGGGAATGCACACGTCATTCTAGGTTTGTGGATGCATGTTGGAAGATGGCCAAGGAATCTTCTCAAACTGTGGCATAGCCTGTGCTGGCAGTACACGCTTGCCCCATGCATGGTTCAGAGGGATAACTGTGTGGAACCCACAGCTGGTGGATTTGTTCTTCAGTTGGATACAGAAAGCAATGAAGTGTAGCCCCAACCTCTCTTAGCAAGGCCCCTTGGCTGCATCACTCTGAGAGTAGAAGAAAAGTGCCTCTGAAGGCATCAGTGTATAATCTCATCACTCAGCTACTTCCGACATTAAAACCCAAGGCGAGGGCTAGAGCAGTAACACAGCGGAGAAGGTACTTGCCTTGAAGGCACCTGACCTGGGTTCAATCCGCTGTATCCCAAATGGTCTCCCAGTTACTGCCAGGACTAACCCCTGAGCATCCCTGGGTATGATCAGAAAACAAACAAACAAAAGATCCCAAGGCAAAACAGGTGAGATAGTTCAGATGTTTGCTTGGCATGTGGAAGTCCTTGGTTTCGTGGTTCCCCAAGTATCACAGGAAGCAAGCAAGCCCTCAGCATTGCTAGATGTAACCGCCAAACCTCAAGACACCAAGACCAGTTGGGGCTGCGGGGTGGCTACGGGGGGAGATGGCTCTGTGTTTTCAGAACCTTGCTAAATGGTGAAACCAAACCAAGAAAACATCACCTGTTTGTTCCAGGCCTTTTTCAGTTCCCCTAGAGATACAGACTGGGCGAGTTCCACCATCCTGAGAATCAGCTTGAGTTGAGTCCTAGAGTGTCACATAAAATGTTTTAGGGCAATGTACCTGGGCATAATGACCATAGTCCCCCCGCCCCCGAGTGGAAGGGAGACTGAGATGCAAGATTTACAGCTGAGTAGTGATTTAAGTTCCTAGTGATTGTTCGAGATCATCCTTGGTTCAGCACCTGAAACACCAGACATGTTTTTCTTCATTATCACAGTTCCAGTTTTAGAAAATTATTTAATAGAATATACAACTATATTTAATGAAACATATATGCATATATTTAATGGAATATAAATGTGTGTGTATATATATATGTATATGCATACAGGCACTCTTAAATGTGAAGAGCAGTAGTCACATCCCTGGGTATCTGCCACTAGCTTGCTCCTTTGAGGCTTGGTGTACTCACTCTCCTGTATTTGACAGGGTCCCTCTACTAAGCCCTGGGCTGCTCAGAACTTTCTGACCTTTACCATGTAAACTCTGTCCAATTTCAAATATGTTCTTCTGTCACTTGTGTGTATCTTTGTTGTGGTTGTGTGTTGTTGATTGAAGTAAGAATCTATTTGATTTTTTTGCTGTTAACTATAACTTGATTGTATGAATAAATCCTTTTTTTTTCCTTTTCTGTTGCTGGATAATAAGTTACATCTCTCCTTGAAATAGAAACAGGAAATGTTGCTATAACCAATATATTAATACTGGTGCATAAACACAAGAGGATATGTACAATTTAAATAGAATCATTGTGTTGTGTAATAAAAATCACATAATGAACTTTAATAGTTAAGTCCAAGTTATTTTCCAAAGTAATGGCACCCACTAACACTGCTGATACCAGTGCATTATAATTTCTAGTATTTTATTCACCAACATAAGATTGTTAGACATAAATATTTGCCAAGCTGAGCAGTTTTATTGGTATCTCATTGTCATTTCATTTTGTGTATATTTGATTACCAATAACTTAAACATGTTTTATTATAGGAGTTCCATTTTTCTTGGAGATCCTTCATGCCTTTTACCTTTTTTTACTATTGCATTGGATTTTTTTAATGATTTTTAAAAGTTCTTTATACTTACCTTTTGTCAATTAATGCTTATTCAACTATTAAGATGAAGAGAAACCATATTTAGAATAGAAATTCTTCTGATGCTTACTTCCAGGAATCTGAAAAGCATGTGAAACTTCATTCTATTTGGAGAAAATAAAGTGAAACACACATATTAGATGTTTGTATTGTGTTCTGATTTTCCACTTTTCAGCATATTAGCCAAGAGAAAAATTCGTGGTGGAAACTTGTGTTCTAGAGGATGCCTTTTCTGAAGCTACATTAAGGTTCACCAATCCCAGTTTCTTGATAGGAAATTAATGTCATGATATTTTGACTGCAGAATTTGGCCCGAATAAACCTTTATGTATCATTTATATATGTAATGTGTATGCCAATATATAATATAGATTTACAGCAATTCAAACCGATGTTAAAATCAGTACTTCTATAAGTCATAGGAGATGTATTGAACCTATACTCATAATTAAATTTTCCTTAAAATGAATGAGGTAGATTAAGCTCATATGAACTTAAGCCAGTGTATTGTGGCAGGAGTAAGTTTCACCTGTCTAATCCAATTGGTAAGTATAAGAACAAAGAAACTACGGTGTCTTCTGAGTCTACTGCTAATCCTGAATAACATTTTTCATAGCCAAAGGATCCTGGCACTGTTAACTGAAAATTTAGAAGAATGACATGAAGATTTAGACTTTTCTATATAACAGCATTCTAAGTCTTTCAGATTATATATCACTTTTTCTCTATAATAAAATTCACATTAGTGAAACATTTGTTTTCATTTTAAGCACTGTGATTTATCATACTATTACTGGTAGGGTTGCATGCATACAGTCTTCCAACCCTGCACTCTCCACCAGAGTATCTACGTCCCTCCATCATTGTTTAGACTTTTCATGGAAATGCTTTGTTACAAATAATCATCATCAATAATATTAGAGAAATAAAAGTTCTATAATAAAAGTGTTTCTGTGAGTACTGTCTAGTATGCTACCAACAGCTAACAGCATTGAAGCCTTTCAGGCCCAGTGGGGCCAGAGACAAGAGAGCTCCGTGGGTTGGGTCAAATGCATTGAATCTAGGATACCTGTGTTTGATCCTCAGGCATTACCAGGTGTGGCCTCCCCACCCCACCCCTCACACACACAAAAATTCTATGTATTATGATACTGATAGTTAAATATATCATGTGCTTTGCATATCAAATACACTGTAGGTTTTAGAGGCCTAATATGAAAAGGAAACACCACAGACTTCATTTTTATATTTGCTCCATTTTGAACATAATGGGTTGAATTACATATGTGGCTTGCATTATATTTTTTTGGACAAAGCATCCTAATAACTTGAATTTATAATTAGAGAAATGCCTTCAAAAGATTTTGAGTTGTGGCAGAAGGATAGAAAAGTGGATATCATTTTTTTAAAAAATTTGTGTTATAACACTGGTTTATCAAGTTGTTCATAATACAGTTGTTTAAGGCATTAAATGTTCCAACACCAATCCCACCAGCAGTGAGACCTTTCCTCCTCCAATATCCCCAGTTGACCACCCACCACCCTAACATGCCCCCTTGCAATCACAAACAAATTTACTTCGTGTTGTTTGTTACAACACAAAGGCAAATCAAAATTTGGATCGATAAAAGACAATTTGTGATACTTGTTTTCTCTCACAAGGACGATACTGAAGGTGGTCTTACTGGGCTGGTTGGTGATGGTTGAGCCTTTTGTGTTACCATTTTTTAAAAAATATTTTTATTAGTGAAACACCATGAGGTGCAGTTGTAGACTTACAAATTTTTGTGCTTGGGTTTCGGTTATACAATGATCAAATACCCATCCCTCCACCAGTGCCCATTCTCCACCACCATGTATCCCAGTATCCCTCCCACCCCCATCTCACCCTGCCTCTATGGCAGGGCATTCCCTTTTGTTTTCTCTCTCCTTTTGGGTGTTGTGGTCTGCAAAAGAGGCACCATTTTTGCTCATTGAATTTGTCGGTCTTCTACAGATTTGTTGTGATCTTCCTGGGCTGAGTACTGAGAAATAGGGGAGTGTTCCCGGGCTATGGAATTAGAACAATTTCGGTGGCTTGGCAGCTTGATGTGGGTCAGTTGTGGAGCTGGGCTGTTTTTATGTCAGAAGGTGTCTGTCAGGTATGGCTTCTGGCTGCCATACCTTTAGACAGAAGGGGGGATATGCCGGCCTCCATTCTGAGAAGAGCCCAGAGTTGTCAGCCCAGACCTTTCGAACTGGGAAGATTCAGTAGCACCAGGTTGTTTCAGAAACTAGTTGTGGAGCTGGACTGTTCCTCTGCTGGCAAGAGGCAGGTGTGGGCAAGGGCTGCTGGGTTTTCTGGTGGAGGCATGGGGTGGGATGGGGAGACTCTTTCATCCCTCATTCTTAGAACACCCCAAAGTAGAAAAAGGAACATCTAGAAGATATTTTTTAATTTATATTTTTTTTGTCTTGATCCTGTGAGCTTTTATTTTTTTATTTTTTTTTATTAGTGAAACACCATGAGGTACAGTTGTAGACTCACAAATTTTTGTGCTTGGGTTTCAGTTGTACAGTGATCCATTGCAAACCACAACACCCAAAAGGGAGAACAAAAGGGAATGCCCTGCCAGAGGCAGGGTGGGATGGGGGTATGGGGGGTGGGAGGAATACTGGGACCCGTGGTGGTGGAAAATGGGCACCGGTGGAGGGTTGGGTGTTTGATAATTTATATTTTTAATTGAATCGCCGTGAGATAGTTACAAAGCTTTCATGATTGAATTTCAGTCACGCAATGGTTGAACACCCTTGCTTCTACCAGTGTGTATTTTCCACCACCAGTGTCCCCAGCATCCCACCTGCCACCACCATCCCCCCCACCTAACCCCCATCCCACCCCTGCCTCTGTGGCAAGCACTTTCCTCCTTCCTATCTTGGGCATCAGGGTTTGCAATACAGATACTAAGAGGCCATAGAAGATAATTGTTTAATGCTTCAGCCAAGACAAGTGTTTTTCTCAATTTACTCTTTGTCTTCCTTTCCCGTGTCATTTCTCCTGAAATGGACAGGATCTACACATTGTGGAAGCCCCTGCCAGCATGCCCAGCCTCTAGTTGCCTTAACGTACAGAGGGATTGTACCCTGTTCATTTGGTCCACCTCTGTTAACTAAGTCATGGTGGCATTTTACCTTTTTGAAAAGAGTATTTCTGAGCTACGGGTACCATCTATAGTTTGTGGAAAAATGATGAATATTAATTGATTAATTCCTAGATTTTTCTAAAATGTTAACTCTATCTGTAAGCTTCATTTGAGCTCTTAAGTATATTTGGATAATCAAAAATTTTAAATGTTTTTTCCTACTCATTGCTCAAGATCAAAACCATGTGAATATTAAAGGAAAATATCTTTGGCAAGAATTATAAGTATTTTGGTTTTTTGCTTTGATTTTAGGAGAAAAGGTTTGTTTGGGGGGAATAGTTTTTTTTTCTAATTAGAATATTGATGGTAACAGCACTCATCTAGTGGAAAAATAAGGTAGAGGTGGGGGTTACCTGTTTTATATGGTGCTTTCCTGAGATCAGAACTGTGTGCCTGGAGAGACCAGTCCTGTACTTCATTGCTTTGCATGATGTTTTGGGTATCATTTGTTACTAATGAACTGCCATGTGTGGGTAGAATAGAGCTTTTGGGGGTGGGTGGAAGAGCTTTGTCCAGGATAAATATAGACAAACATTTTTCATGTTAATTTGGTTTTGCTTATTGTTATCCCGTCAATTTATTTAGCTTATTATATCCCATCTGTTAGATTATCTCTTACTTTTCTCCCTGTTGATTGGTTTCCTGTCACATACTATACACGAGGTTGAAATACAGCTCCTCGGCTCTAAAACTCGAAGTTAGATTCAAAAGTGCATCTGAGATTTATACCAGTAGTGAATTGAACAGGAATTTGGCAAAGTTTCCTTTCATTCAACTCTCTCCCTATTTATAGTGGTGAACCATTTAAATAGTCTGTTCGTGCCACATCTTTACCAGCTAGAATGGGTGGCAAGCGTGATGACAGCCGCAATATTTTCAGTCCCCAGATGGCACCCAGAAGGAATGACAGCAGCTGCAGCTTCTCTTATATTCCTGTTTACCTGCTAAAAAATACTGTCCATTAACCTGTATCCCAGTCATAAATAAGAGACGGAATATTAGGATTTTTTCATCTTCATCATAAGGTGACCGGGCAACCCATTTTAGCAGTTTCATATTTAGCAGGGAAAATGATTTTAGTTGGACTTGTGGACGATCTCTGAAGGACAATGAGAGGCCCCAGGCTGCGCTCTGTGAGGTCACTGCAGAGTGATCCCAATCTCTAGGGACACTTGCCCCGGGACCCAAAAAACCTCTGAAGAGACCATACTGAAATCTGATGAAGGTGAGGTGCAAATTGGTGATAGGGAAGGTAGGTGTAGAAATAAGACCTTTTAACAGAGAATGGGTTGTAATTGTCAGTGAAGATGTTTTCATCATTACTAAAAACTATTCACTCTCATTGCTGGTGAGAAAAAACTCATTGGGTGTGTTTTTTTCCCCCAATATATTGCTATAATTTACATTCTTTTCACTGATTATAACAGCATCCTTTGCATGATCTATAGTAGATTTAAGTCACCAAATCCAGTCAAATTCCCCAAACTTTGTATTTTTTTCTGTTCTGTTTGTGTATTTTATCTGATGTGTCTATTAAAAAGGGGAGAATAAACTCCTTCCTGTTTCAGTAAGGATATAATCACCAGTTACCAACTAAGTGCCCAAATATGTTGTTATAAAAAGCAGATTCATTATCCTTTAATTTCTATTAACATGTAGAGTTTGTTTGTTTGCAGGATATTCATGAAAGTATAGTATTTGCCATAATTATCTGTGAGCATAAATATTTACTCTTTGGATCTAGGAGCTGCCTTTGGGGAGGGGGTGGTATGTTTTTTACTTTGTTCTATTCTGGGTCAACTTTGATTTGAGAGCAACTTGCTTGCATGTCTTCTTTTTGCTTGACTAGAGTACATTGGTTATGTAAAAGCACAGTACAGTCAAATTAAACACGATTTGTTAGTGTGTGTTGAAGTCCACTTGATAAAAAAAAAAAGTATAGAACCATGTACT